TGCTCTTACCAGGCCCAGGTGTCATTGCCACCAAATGCGGCTCCAGGGGTATCTTCTGTATGTTGCTAACAGATATTAAGTGCTTTTCACATGCATGGAGTTTCCTTCCTCATAATGATTATAAATTCACACACATGGTCCCTCGTCTACATGCCCTTCATATCTCCTTCCAGGATTGCTCCAGTGATACTTCTTTTGAGAGGTTGGCCCAGGCCTCTAGGTGGAATAGACAGACCCTCCTCTCTGCTCCCAAGTATCGTATCTAAACCGTATCTATCAGGACCATCTAGCCCATTATGTGTTATTTCATTGGTACATGTCTCTCCCTTTTTCTCTTTCTCTCTCTCTCTCTCTCTCTCTCTCTCTCTCTCTCATTCTTCTTCTTCTTTCTCTCTTCCCCCACCCCTTAAATTGTGTTTTTAAGGCTCAGAAGTGAGATCTTTAAATTCCTGGCAACTCTTGACCCAGTGGGAGGACAGACTCTGTTCAAAACCCAAGGCCAGACTTGCTTACCTTGTTCTGACTGACTTGCCTTCCTCTCTTCTCCCAGCTGAAAACTCTTTCTTCAAGCCTCTGATGCAACTCATTTCACTGGGTCCCTGAGAAACACAGAATGAGGAAGGCAAAAAAAAAAATGTGATCTAATTTAACTAAGATGAATGATTTGAGGATGAAGGGAGAATCAACACTTCAATATATAACAAATTGTTGCCCACAATTAAAAATTAATATAGCAATTGTCCATTCTTCAGAAGTCACAAAAGATGTCTCTTGAAAGTGGGCAGAAACGTTTAATTATTTGTTTCAAATTAGTCTTTCTAGGCACAAATATACCCCAATAGTATACAATGAAACGTAACTGTCCACATAGAAAATATGTGTGGGTAACATGCCAGGAAATCCTGAAGTTCTGACAAAAGGAGTTTTTGTTGAGTCAGAAATCCAATTAAACAACAAGAGTTTAATGTGTCTTCTTGGCATGGTGGAGGGCTGCATCAAATACTTTTAAAATCCAGTTAAACTCCCTTCGTGGAGTGTGTTGTGTGGCATCCTCTCCCCAACAAAAGCCTAGCCTTTAAAAACCACCCTCATGCCGGGCGCGGTGGCTCAAGCCTGTAATCCCAGCACTTTGGGAGGCCGAGGCAGGTGGATCACGAGGTCAAGAGATCGAGACCATCCTGGTCAACAAGGTGAAACCCCGTCTCTACTAAAAATACAAAAAAAAAAAAAAAACAAAAAAAACAACCACCCTCATGCAGCATTGCAGGAAAACCATCCTCTCTTTACTGTTCTAGTGTGGTTCTGCAATATTATTGTGTATGGATTTCAATATCTGAAGACAGTAATTGAGGAGAATTCACCAAAGCTTCCAAAACAGTAAAACTGCATATTACACAATCGTCTGGGAGAAAGTGTAGCATAGACTTCAGAGCACAAGTTCAAGATAGGTCAGTAACTTAGCTGTGTGACCAGGAACAAGGAACAAGAAAGTTAAAATTCAGAAGTCCCAGTGTTCTCAGCTGTAAAACGGAGGCAGTAAGAGAAACTATCCCTAGAGTGCCATGAGGATTTCATGAGATAAGTCATATACAGACTGGGCAGAGGGCACAGGGCACAGGCACATGGTAAGAGCCTATTGGCTGGACTGTTGCCATCATTAAAATGCAGGCTGGCAATGTCTGCTGCAATGCCAAAACAATGCCGTCCAATGTTCAGGCTGGAGAAATTGGTACCAAGACACATCTCACCAAAACTGAGTCACTATGTTGAAGATCAGGGAAGGGACTGGAGCCATAGGAGGACAGAAGACAGGCTCAGGGGAGCCTTCAACACAACTGCGGCCACAGTGCTGTCCCTACATCTCACCCATCCCTCCCCAGCCACACTACTGTTCACGTCCCAAGAGTCCTGTTTATACCATCTGCTCACCGAAAGGCATCTCCAGAGCCCATCCCTGAGCCCAGGAAGCTGTCTGTCCACTTGCAGCCACATAAGCGCACAGGTTAACTGAGGGAGGTTTCCAGCCAACAGGCAGCAATACACACAAGTGCACATGTAAAAGCAGCCCTGAGCAGAACATCCATACAGTCACTGGCATGATAAAGAGTCTACAAGCCACATACACATTCATGCATGAATGTGTACACACACACACATACACACACATACACACAGGCACATAAATACATACACATACACATGCCTGTGTAGCTCCCTAAGTCACCAGCCGTGTCTGCTCTCCCTCACCCCAGCTTTGATGTCCCTTGTCCCAGCTGAGTTCTATTTTACTTCTCAGATCATTGCAGCCCTGGTCTAGAATGATATAAGGAGCAAAACTGAGCCAAGAAGGTTTGCCAGATTCCTCCTGGAAGTAACCTGTAGACTCAAGTCTGCAAACAGCATCAAGGAGCTGCAGAGTGGAGCACAGAATTCAAAGGTAGGAGAACTGATGCTGAAACCCCGCTTCACCTCATTATGTCTGATCTTGAGCAGTTCCTTAGTCTTTCTGAACCTGTTTCCTCATCCCCAAGATGGGAAACATCCTGCCCTATGGGATGTGGTGGTGATCCAGTTGATGTAAGTAAAAGTATTCCGTGATCCATAAGGAGCTTTGTAACCATCAGCTTTTCTGGTAAACACCAAGAACCCTGAACTATTGGTATAAATTCTATTCTGTGATTTATGACTGGGGGTTCATTCTGGAAACAAGAAAGCTAGATAACATTGACATCCAACAGGAGGACTAGATGAACTCTAGAGAGAGCAGAGTGTCACATGGTTCAGAGAGTGACAGAGACCACAGGGGAAGGGAAAGCCACTGTGGATGCTGTCTTGGGTTCATCTGCTTTCCTTGGAGTAGAGCTGGGATGGGATGGGAGAGTGGAGGGTAAATGTAACTCTTAATAGTTTAGACATTTGGGATTATTTGCCCCTGAGAAGCCTCTGGATGCTATGCCAACAGAGCTATCTACCTCTCAGGAGGAGTAAGGGTGAACATGGAAATCATTTTCCTCTGCCCCTCACAATTCATATCTTATCAGAACTGCAAGGGCAACAGAGCCCATCAGGTGAATAGCAATTGGGCCCATAAGGCCTGTCCTAGGCAGGCCGTAAGATACCTCCCAATAATCTCACATCTTGGTATTCACATCCTAGTGAAATCTCCTTCCCTGAGTATGAACTGCACCTAATGACTCACTTCCAAGAAACAGAATATGGTCAAAGTAATAGAACGTCATTTCTGAGATTAAGTCATAAAAAAGTTGTCTTCCATCTTGAGTACTCTCTCACACTCTCTTTCTCATTCCTCTTGAGGGACGCCAGCTCCCATATTACAAGCTGCCCTATGGAGAAGTCCAGGTGACAAGGAATTAAGAGGGATTTCCAGGCAAGAGGCAGCAAGAAACTGGGGCTTTTAGTTCAACAATCTGTGAGGAGCTTAATCTTGCCAATATCCATGTGAGTGAATTTGAAAATGGATTCTCCTCCTGTTGCACCTTCAGATGAGACCTCGCCCTCAGCCAAAACCATGACCACAGCCTCATGGAGAGACTCTGAGACAGAGGCAAACAGCTAAGACACACCCAGATTCCTGGCCCACAGAAGCTGTGAGGTAGCAAATATTTGTTTAAGGCAACTAAGCTTTGGGGTGCTTTGTTACCCACCAAGAGATAACCAATACAAAGCCCCTACCAGACATCCCAAGGAAAAATCCCATTCACAAAACTGAGACAGAGAAGGGCTTCTCCTCTGGCAGCAGTGGGAGAAGTTTCACTGCGTAATTCCTTCTTCCCCATTCCGTCTCTAGGGGACACCATTTCTACTAAAGTAAGGGAACTTACATGTAAGTAAAGAATTTAGGTCTATAACATGCTACAGAAACGAAGCTGCCCTTCTAACAAAGCAGACTTTGACAAGTCCACTTTGACACAGTGGATATACTAATGTGGCCAGAGTGATTCCAGGTGGGGTACGGATGGGGGGCAAGGTACAAGGGGAAGGCTCAGAGATGGAGTTAGGGTGCTTGCCTTGCACATTACTTGAGAGTTATAGAAAGTTGCCGTTTTCATGGTTTCTTTTGAAGGCTAAGTAAAAATGTTCTTGGCACCAAAATGGCTTTGTGCAAGTCACCAGATCAAAATGTCAGGTTCTATCATGGGACTATTTTATCCAAACCTACTGCATAAACACTCTTTGGGCCCCACCTAGGCTCTGGAGCCAGGAAGATTGCCACTAATCTTCCTTTCCTTACACACACACACACACAAACACGTGCGCACACAGGCACACGGGGCTCGAGAGTAGGTTTCCAGAATCCAGCAGCACAGGGTCTAGGATGGAGTAAGTTTTAGGGCCATCATCTCTCCCATGCCTGACTTGGATTTGGGCTGTTCTGATTCAGAGGCTGACAGCCGCCTGCCTAGAGGCTGGCTCCTCACCAAAGACTCTGTGGAGCCCCAGTCATCATGGGGTCCTTTGGGAGTTTTCCCTAAATTCCTCACCAGTGCAGAACACAAGAATGCAGAAACTATTGTGCATGGTGGACCCAAAGAGGGCCTTTAATTTGGAATCGATCCTGTTTGTTTTCTGAAGCTTTCTGTATCGTTAAAGCCACTGATTCACCAACATTTAATAAAGGGGAGAGTGTTTCCTAGAGCCCTGCATGGTTGTGTGGTCAGAGATGGCAGTAGTTACAGTTGCCAGCATCAGGTTACTCACCGCACAGCACTGAGAGATCGAACCAGGTGCACCGGGAACGGGCCATTCCAGTCCAGCCTCCCAGCCCTGGCGCTACTTTGCCTCTCTGTACCTCGATTTTCTCCTGAGTAAAAACGAGGGTTGAGGTCTGCTTCACCCTGTCTCCCTTCCAGCTCGAACCTCCCGCATGCCTGTGAAACCTCTTGGCACAGCAGTCCCCAGGAAATGGAATGCACTGGAGTTTCCTAACACATCCCACCGAATGAATTCCTTATGAGCCCAACTTCTGGGTTTGTACTCACCGGGAAAACACTGCAAGCCCTGACCTTCCCAAATCTCGGCTTGTTCTCGTTCCCGGATGCGTTTTCAAAAGAGAAAAGCTAACTTTTGCCCTCTAGGGTGGGAAATGTGAAAGGCACAAGAACAGACTCTGTGAACTGAGACCACAAGAAACCCTGCCTGGGCGTGGGGCCCACAGAGCAGTCGCCAACAGCCTTTCCAACCACAGGGTGGAAATTCTACACGCAGAAGGTGCCCAGATGCACCCTGCTTTCGTCCCCTCGCCAAATGCCGTAAACCTGTTTCTGTCCCGTTGGAGCTGCAACGTGGAGCCAGAAATCTGGAAGAATTTAACACCCAGTAGATTCAGACACAGGAAAACATTGTTCAAAGTAAACACTGGAATCCCTCCCTCATCATCCAGGAATGTGGAGCCAGCAGGGTCTGAGCTCAGCAGCTTCTCAGAAAAGCCCCCACTAAGCTGCTCTGCTTTTGGGGCCACAGACTGGGAGGGCCAGGAGGGGCTCCACACGCTGTTTTCTGGCCAAGTCGGGGACGGGGCTAGGAGGTCAGTGCACGGGGTTTCTCTCCCGTGGAAACATGAGCGGTGCTGCCCACAGCCTCCAGCTAAAGAACCCTCTGTTCCCCTACAGGACCCGGCCTGTGTGCAAAAGCCCCTGAACTTGTGAAAGCCCGAAGGAAACAGAGAGGGGCTCAGGATGCTGCGAGACTTTTCCATTTCCTTTGCCTCCCAGCAGGCTGTGAAAGAGCCACTTTTCCTCGAGGAAGAAAGAAGGCCCTGTGTGCAGGGCGAGGGTGCAGCCCTTCTAACCAAAAGATGTGTGAGCTGCATGGGATGTGGCCACCGACATTCATTTCGCTTTTGCTGGGACTTACCGAATTCCACCTCTCAGCAGCCCTATGCCAGGGTCCCACCCTGTTTCCTCTGGCTCTGGAGAGTAGAGAGGAAGGACTTGCTTTACCCAGGGGTCTATAAGGAATCTCGGACAGACACTGCACCTTAAATCGCCTCTGTGTCACTGCCTCACCTGTGTGACACCTTTGTGTCACTGGGTCCCTCTGCCTCAAATTTCACCTCAATTCCATTCGCGAAGATGCAGCCTGAACCGAATTGTCGGAAGGTTTCTCACAGTCAGAGGAGAGGGGGAAACCTTCAGATTGGGAACGTTCAAGGAGAAGAACGCAGAGAGTGCAAAGAAGACCACGGGGCCACCTGAAGCTCTCAGTAGAGTCCTGCTTGGTGGCGGGGCTGCTGGTGGCAGCAGAGGCAAATCTGGTCATTGTGAAGAGGCCAAAGAAACAAACCACTAAATGTCCAGCATGGCGGTCTGTCTCGTCCTGGCCCTCACCCCTGCTGCCCGACAGCCACGACATTCTCCCATTCCTGAGCCCTGAGGGATCTACCACCGGAGGCTTATTAATCCACTCATTTAATCTGAATTACTGAGGGCCTCCTACTGAGCCACGTGAGCAGGAGTGTTGCTGTCCCTGCTCTGGAGGAGCCTGGATAATCCAGACCAGAGGCTGTCAAGAGGTGGTCCTGGGACCACCATCCCCAGCAGCAGCAGCACCAGGGAGCTTGGTGGAAATGCAATTGATTGGATGTCACTTTAGCCCACTGAACCAGAAACTCTGGGGGCTGGGCCCAGCAATCTATTTTCACAAGGGATTCCGCTGCTCATGAAAGTTTAAGAACCATTGAGCAGGTCTGCCAATGCCTCACTTGATAATAAAGAAAATTTGAACGTGTCATGATTTGCCTTGGGGAGGTCACAGACGTGGGGTGAGAGTTCCTATGCTCCTAGACTCAGAACAGCTGTGCCAAATTGTGCTGTCATTTAGAAATTTTTGGTTCCAGTTTCAGGAACGCCTTTTCCACCAAATTCATGGTGATTTTTTTTTTTTCACAAGAGGCAGGAACCTCCCTTCCACTCATGAACAAGACAAATGAGGCTTCTTTTGACTTGTAGCACCCACCCCGACCAGGGTTCTGCCACCCTTCCTGAAGGTGGCTCTGAGAAGGCCATTTCTACTGTTGTCTTCAGGGACTCCCTCTCTGTTCTCTCACTCTCAGTAGGTATCAAGGAATGTATACAGCCAGGCTTTTCTATTGAGTTGATTTCTAAAGAGATGCATCAACCAATGAAGTCGAATTGCCTTCATTCTCTCAGCAGATGACGTCCACGCTGCCAAACGGAATGATCTCCTTTGCAGCTTCTGCTTATCCCGTCTGACCTGTTAGCAAGGGAGCCCGCAGGCCCTTTTTCTCCTGCGTCCCAGCAGCTCACAGGCCTCTCTTCTCAGGCTCGATGCTGGCCCCTGCTCCTCTGCTCCACTTAGGGTAAGGGAACCCCCGTCCCGAGCACCCTTCACATCTTCATCTGCAAACTCATCACAGTGCCCCAGCTCCCACATATGTGTCTCTAGTCACGGGCTCTTCCCTGAACTGCAGGTCTCCTATGCAATCCCTGCCAGACATCTCCTCACAGATGTTTTACAGATACCTCAACCTACGTCCTTCAAACAGCTTCCGACACCTCTCGCTCCCACCACATCCAAATCCTGCTTCCCTACTGGCCTTCCCCTAGTTTATTTGTTTATTTTCTTTTTCTTTTTCTTTTTCTTTCTTTTTTTTTTTTTTTTTTTTTTTTTTGACGGAGTTTCGCTCTTGTTACCCAGGCTGGAGTGCAATGGCACAATCTCGGCTCACTGCAACCTCCACCTCCTGGGTTCAGACAATTCTCCTGCCTCAGCCTCCTGAGTAGCTGGGATTACAAGCACGTGCCACCATGCCCAGCTAATTTTTTTTGTATTTTTAGTAGAGACAGGATTTCACCATGTTGACCAGGATGGTCTCGATCTCTTGACCTCGTGATCCACCCGCCTCGGCCTCCCAAAGTGCTGGGATTACAGGCTTGAGCCACCGCGCCCGGCTTCCCCTAGTTTATTAACCAGCACCCCTAACGAACCTGTTGCCAAAAAACTAGGAATCTTCTCCTCTTCCCCTCATCTTCAAAATCCAACTTACCAGCAAGTCACGTCACCCCAACCTATAAAGGTCCTAAGTCCTTCATTCTCTTTATTCTACAATGATGACAGCCGCTACTGCATGCTAGTACTAAAACATAAAAATAACTCACACCACAGGAGTTCATGTTGTATACGTATTCCCTCATTGAGCCTTCCCAGCAAACCCGTGCATTAAGTGCTGGATTATCCCCCTTACAGAGGATAAAATTGAGGCACATAAAGAGGGTTCAGTGACTTCCTGAAAGCCATACAACTAATACAGTGGAAGCAGAATTCCACGTGATCAGACATGTTGCCCAGTGCTGCCCCTGAATCTGCCTGGTTGCCCCCACAGCCTCCAAACTTGCCTCCCTGCTTCCACTCTTGACCCTGCATAATTTGCTTCATCCACACAGCAGCCAGAGTGATAGCTTTCAATAATCTGCACTAGTACACAGCACTCCCCAACCCAAACACCTCTTTTCAAGGGTTTCCCCAGAGCCCTTGGGATGAAATCCAAACTCCTTCTGTGGTTGCCTCTGTCCACCTCTTAGGTCTGTCTCTCTCTCTCTGTCTCTCTCTGTCTCTCTCTGTCTCTCTGTCTCTCTCTCTCTCTCTCTCTCTCTCTCTCTCTCTCTCTCTCCCTCCCTTCCTCCCTCTCTCCCTCGCCTTTCCCACCCCCAACCACCCTCCAGCCACGCTGCCATCCTCTGGGTCCTCAAACTCACCAAACTCCAACCATTTCCTCCCTCTGGAATGGCTTTCCCATGATTTTTACATAGCTGGTGTTTGATCATTTAAATCTTAGCTCAATGTTGCCTTCCCAGGAAGGCTTTTTTCTAACTTCCTGCTCTAAACTAGACACTCAGTCCATCGCTATCACTTCACCTTGTTCCGTTTTCCTGACAGCACTTAGCGCTATCTGAAATTGTTTTACATTTGTTTGTTTACGATTTATTTTCTGCCTGCCCTCTTAGAACTTAAATTCCACGACAGGAAGGAATCGTTCTGTCTTTTCTCTCATGTATATCCCAGGACCTAAAACCATAGCACAGAGCCCTGTGCCAGGCAGCACAGAGAGAGGAAGGCGAAGGCAACAGAATCCAGGGAGGAAGTCAGCCTCCGCATTTCCACTACAGCATGCGGGACCCAGCAAGGACAGAGGAGCGATTCCTGCCCCAGCCTAGGAAAGCTGGGAAGACTTCCTGGGGAAGATGACTTGAGTTTATTTTATTTCAACATTTATTCCGGACCACACCTGCCAGGTACAGTGATGGATGAGACCAGTGGTCTGCTTTCTTAGTACCAATATCACCTAGAGAGCCTTTTAGAATACAGGCTGCTGGGTCTCACGCCCAGAGTTTCTGATTCTGGAGTAAGACCTGGAGTAAGCACCAGGAGTCTGCATCTCTCACTGATCTCCGGGTGAAGATCAGTGTGATCCAGGGACCACACTCTGAGAACCACCAGATTGGACCATTTCCTTGCCACAGATCACCATGAGTATGGCTCAGTACCATGCTGCGTGCCATGTGCTATGATAGAAATCTAGGCTATAGATAAAAGGAATCAGTGGGTACTTCTTGGAGGGGCTGGAATCGGAAAAACTTGAGGAAAAGGACAAAGTAGTATATATTCCTAAAAATTCAAATGTATTTCAGCATTGCTGAAGCATAAAGCATAAAACAAAGACTGGCTGAAGGTGAGATTGAAGTAAACCCCAAATGGGAGACGCTTAAAAAAATTAGTAGCAGGAGGCCAGGCTATGTAAAAGCCAGGCGAGCACAGCACACTTAAGGAACTGCAGAAATAGTGACCAACACAGAGGGTGGTCAAGGGTCAGGGGTGAGATCTCTAGCAAGAAAAGATTATAAAGCAAAGTAGAATTCAAACCATGGAAGGACCCCACCTTGGGGCTGGGTCCTATGGGGAAACAGAGGGTTCCTTAGCTGGAGGCTGCAGGCAGAATTACCCGGATGAATGGGCAGCCATTCAGTGGAATACTATACAGCAATAAAAAGAAATCGGCTGTACCTA